TTCCCGAGACCCAGATAACTGGGACTGGGACCAACATTCAGTAATGGCTTTTATAAGGCAATTTCATTTAAGCTCAGTTTTGGAAAAATTACAATTCAAATATGTACATACAAAAATACAAGGTTTTGCAGTATACATATTTGTATTTATATCCCTCCCAAACTGAGTCTTAGGAACAAAAGAAACTGAGGTAATAGAAAGGTGTCTAAAACTGCTTCTGTAATCAATAATCACTGTGTGAAATGTGAATAGTCCAAAGAGCTTGAAATTCAATACCCTGAGAGGTTAGGTCCTGAGCAAAAATTAGTAAGGGCTTCAAGACAAGAACAAACCTCCATAGACAAAGCACTGGACAGGGACAGAGACGTGAAGCAACTAGGTTCATTTGCAACAACCCATTACATAGTGCTTGAGTGTTGGAAATGACAGTGAGAATGAAAGATGTATCCATTGAGAAAAAGAGCTGAATTAGGAACATAGAGCCTATGTGCATGTAAAGCTTTTGGTGGACGACCCACATGCAATACTAGCTACACAAGGGACAAACTTACAGGAGGCCTAGAAATTAATTAAGCTCGCTACAACAAATTATAGTACCAACTTAACTTCTGTACTTGGGTTCATGCACCATTGCCAGTTAAAATCCTTTCACTTGATGCCAATCATCCTTTTCTACTGTTCTACTCACTTAACTCATAAAGGTGTCTAGATTCTCCTCTCTCTCTAACTTTTCATAAACAATGAATTGATACTATCCTAGTGGCTATCAGTTAGTTGAATGCAGATGCTTATTACAAATGAACAACCGTTGTTAATTATTTGGAAAAAGCAGAAACTTTCATCTTTTCTATCCTTCTCCTTTTCTACTCACATGTACTACAGTTATCAGAAAACCATATTAATGCAGAAGTTAGAATTATCAGCCTATACCAGCAAAAGCTTAAGACAAAACGACATAAACATATTATTAGTCTCTTACCTAACACATTACACCACATGGAATTCTTGAATTTTTAAACATTTATTATGGCATTAATCAGAAACCAACTTTCTATCAACTTTGATCAACAGAATATGTACATTCTTTCATCCTCATTAAAGTTAGTAACAAATTTTTATTAAAAAATAAAGGCCCTGACCCCCCAGTTTAAAAGGTAGCATACATTGATTATAGAATTTAGTGTTAGGAAACACAAGCAACTTTTCAATCAAATCAATAGATCTTAAATCTAGGAAACCAATTTAATATTTTGTTTAAATTTAATTGCACCATAGTATATGCATAGTATCACCTGCACAGTAAAGACTTAATTAAGAATATATAAATAATTTCAATTATAAAGCATATAATTAACCTCCTATCAGATGCTAATCAACATAGAACAGCTTAAATCAAGTGGGTAGAGAGTTAATTAAGAGAATACAACCTTGACCATTGTTCTAAAATGATTTGGACCCTACTTTGATCCTTCAGTTTGTGATGAGATATTTGTGCCTGTACATCAATAGCAGGAGATGATGTATATATCTACTTGATAAGGATGAAATCTTGGGCTTTACAAATCAATTCAAATTGTCTTTAACTCTTAATCAAAGAAACATTTATTCATATAATATTGCCGCAGGTTTGTTTTTTTTTTTGTTTTTTTGTTTTATTGTCAATACAAGATTCCACCGTCACACAAACTTTTCCATTAAAACAGTATATTCCGGTCCAAATTGCTTTGGGAATATTGAAAAGAGCTATATCAATAACTTTATCTTCATACTTCAAATTCAATCATGTTGTAGTTGGAGGGTTAATGTAGTCCTGTTCTGGTGTTTCAATAGTCATTAATTTAAGGGGGTGTTTGGTATTAATGCAGTTCTTGGCCGTTACATGATTTGTTTCCTTTTTAAAAGCAAAACAATGGCCACACCAGCAAAATGATATATTTTTAATAATGTGGCATTTGTTCACTTTTGCTACGACACAGTTGTAGCCCAGGGCTAAAACAGAAAATCATGGCCTTGGAACTACTGCAGTGGCCCCATCAAAAAGTCATTTCATCTAATTCAAGGTGGGGTCATGACAGCAAATCAAATGCTTTGATTTACTTGTTTCAATAGCAAATGTGGGTTAGCAAATTAGGAACATCTCCCCTTTGAATTTAACATATATGTAGGAGAAATATAGATGAGAGAATTTTGCATTGGCAAATGACAAAACAAAAACAAACCTGCCTTTTAACATAGATTTATTGATGCCTGTTTCTACAAAGCCACCAACGCAAGGGTCTGTGCATGGAACGATCATCAAAACACTTTTTTTTTCTTGTTTTTGTACTCGTATGATGTGGCAAATTTAAAAAAAAATGAAAAAGCAAAAGATTTTTCTGAATCGACACATTCTTATTGCAGCCCAATCTTTTAATGGCAAAAACTATAACACTTTACAGCACTTCAACAAGTTCAGATTCATGCCCAAATACACATCTCATCGTGCATTGAGAACATCTCTCATATTTGTCATCGAGAAGTATTTTCATTACATGACTGGAATGAATTGGGATCTGCTCCTCACACAGCACATTTCAAACCAACCTCACAGACACATCTCCCATAAATAATAACATTTAAGTATGGGAGATGTTTCCAATACATGAAGTGGGATGTGCCTGTGAGGAGCGCTCTGTAAGGAGGCTGGGATGGGCTTTGGGGTGCTGATGTGAATTCCATTTCATTAGCACATGCATCTACCAAACACTACTTGAGAGTTGAGACACTGCTATTTAACACCTACTTGTTTTGATCCAACAATTTGTAGATCACATCCATGGCTTGGGAAGCATTTCAACAGGCTTTCAATATCAATTTTGGAGACCCACCTTTTCTCTTTTTAAAATTAATTAAGTGGAGTAGGTGAACTCAACTCTTATGGGGAAAACTACAGAAAACCCAGAAAGATGGTCCCTCACTCCAGGTTGGTGTAAGTACACATTCTTGGAGAAATTTAAAACCAAAGAACCCACAGACATTATTGTGTGTGTGCCTTAATTTTCAAAAGTTGATGGCATTAAAGCTTCACCAATTTTCTAAAGTTGATGGCATGAAAGTTTCACCATCAATTGTTGACAGATCAGAGGGAATTTCAGGGGCTCCAAATGAAGCTAATGAAGTTCTTTTTGTGTGTGTATGTATTTAACGAATTAGGATATGTTCCTCACAGCATTTATCATACCAACCTCACAGTAGCTACATTCTACCGTGTAATAAAAACATTTCCCATGAATAATAATATAAAAGCACAGGAGACGTTCCCTATGTGTGATAGATACATGAGATCGGTATGAGAAGCGTGCTCTGTGAGAAACAGATTCGGACTGGGACTGGGACTCGTATTTGACTGTTAGACATGCATACAAATTGGAGAATTAGGTAGTGAGAGTGATTAGGGTAGGTTTATGGGTGCCTTTGATGGAGACGCTTCTCCCAACAGAAGTCACATTAAGCCAATTGCACCCTCAGTTAGCTTACGAGTAATGTCTGATGTGAATTGTTTTAATTCGCCCATGTGAGAGAAACTTGATTAATTAGCAGCAGTTCAACTACTGTCTTACATTGATTCCCCAATTATCCTTTTCTTTTGTGAATAAAATAACTATATTAACTACCACCAAAAACATATGACTTTACAGTGTCTGAGATACAACTGTAGGACTGATATTAACCATCTAACCTCCTTTGGGTGGTTATTAGTTAGTCTATATTGGATGTAAGTTTTTCCCCTATCATCTCTTTCTCATATCATAGTCAAACCCACTATTAATTTCAATCCTGCCACATACAAGATTTCTTACACCCTACAGTCTCTTGCACCCTTATATTTGGAATATTTTTTCATGAAAAAAGTATAAGTACAGAGATATCCCCAATACAATGCACGTCTTTCCGTGCATCTTTCCACGTGAGAATAAAATGTGAAAGATACGAAAAGTTTCATTAGCCCAAAATGGATTTCTTACATCTTTTCGGTGCTTTGGCTTTTAATGACTAGATCTTCCTCGAACCAAATGAAAATAGACTGAAAATCGGTCTACTCGACTTGTAAACAGTCGAAAGACTGTGTAAAAAGACATGCCAAACAAGCCCTTTCTCTACCTACTCTCTAACTACAATACACTGCAACTGCACATCTCACAGTATAACATGGGGATGCATAACTGCAATTCAAGAAGATGAATAGAGTGTGAATAGAGAATGGTGAGCAAGAAATCAGATTTGAAATGCAACACTCAGATTCAAGACGGGATATTCCCCATTTGGACTTGTCATAGGGACATGTTCTCAATTCACATAGGAGGGATGAAACTGAAACCAAATCTACTCCTCACACAGGACGCCTTACACACATCCTATCATGTATTAGGAACATCTCTCGTGAAAAATCCAGTTCGGATGGAACGTGGGATGGATAATATGTGGGGAGCCCATATTATAATTGTTTCCAACTTTATAAACCAATAAAAATTCCCCTTTCATTTAAAAGTATTTTCATTATAAAATAAGAGCCTCATCTGACTCATATCACAAAATCTCTCAACAGTATCAAATTTCAATACGCAACGTTACATCGATGATTCAACAAAATGCCGTTTTTATGATCCAGGAATCCCCTCTCTCACAAAACCCAAGACATAATCATTACAATGGTTTTCCAAAAGTGATTGAATAGTGTTTCCAGTTTTTGATGTGACAAATTGATGCAAGAGAATGCTCCGAAAAACGCATCCGTGCCAAACAGAACCTCTGTTTGCAACATAAACCCAATAGCGTGCCAATACCCACCCATAAACTAATCCATAACAGATTAGTAGATTACCGTGAGTAGACCGGGTCCCTCAGTGAAGGACACCGCCTCCTGCTTTCTTTACTCAATCATCGCAGGTTGAATACAATAGTTTAAATATATTTTATTATTACTCAGGAGTCAGGATTCTCATTTCTTTTCTGGGGTACCATTCAATTGAAATAGTTTCTGATTATTTATCCTTCAGCACACTGTAACACCACATTCTATCGGAATCTTGCTCGAGATAAAGAAGAAAGCTAGCTAATTAATTAAATACAAAGTCTGGGTGATCAGGCCAATGACCTCTGTGCTCTGGGGGTCCGGCCATTAACCATCTAATTACTTGCAGAGAGTAAAAAAACTAAAAATTAAAAAGAGAAACAGAGAGCGAGAGATAGATGGCCCAGATTTTTCTTCCACAGTCGTCGTCTCAGAGATGGAGCCAGGTTAGAGGGAAAAACCAGAAGAAAAAGCCATAATAACATTGAAGGAGGACTGCAGGAGAAGTGGGAAAGTACAAATTCTAGATTCATGTTCTTTCTCAAACTCCTAACAGACAATATAAAAGTACTGTTGCCCATCTTTTCTGTACACCACGATAAATATATCAATCCACCCCCACTGACACGAGACGGACATGCAACAAAATGCGAGATCCACTGTGAGCCGTTGGATCAATGATCGTCACACTTCCTCGTTATCGTCGCCCACATGGTTGGAGGTCGTTCGTGTCATCAGTCAGGGGTCCCGACTAACATGCGCCCACTGTCTCGTGCATGGGCAATGGGGATTTATGAGGACGAGCTCCGCCTTCTTTCACGAACCAGGGCGGGGAGACCACCGCTCACGGTTGCGGTGAGTCCCGGAGCGAACCTCGGCGAATCGTTGTCTTCCACTACTTGGATTTCGAAACTTCGTACCACAGCTAGTACCACGCTTTTAATCTCCACCAGTGACATTTCCTTGCCGAGACAGACCCTGAGTCCGGCCTGAAACACCGGGTATTTGAATGGATTTTCAGGCGAAAAAATGCCGTTCTTCAACCATCTCTCTGGCTTGAATTCGAGGCAGTCTGGACCCCATAATTCTTCCATCCGGCCCATTGCGTAAGGGTGATAGGTCACCCTCGTTCCTCTCTTCACCGCCGTGCCGTCAGGGAGTACGTCGTCTTCCTGGGAGAATTTGGAGTCAAATTGGACGGGTGGGTACAGCCGCAAGCTCTCGTAAACGGCCGAGTGCAAATAATGCATCTCTCGGATTTGTTCAAAACTTGCGAGTTCCTGAGTTGGTCCCATGACTCGGTCTGATTCGTTGAGGATTGTCGCCGCTACTTCTGGGTGCTTTGCCAATAGCCAGAAAAAGCTGGTCAACGCAGAAGCAACTGTGTCACGTCCGGCTAACAGAAAACTTATCACGATATCTCTCAGGTACTTGTCGTCGTTGATGGTGCCCATGAACCTAGAGAGAAGGTCTTGACTGGCGGAGAATCCCATCTTACGCCGCTGTCTTATAACCTCTTTTGCGAGGACGTTGATTAATCGGATAGCCTTCTTCAGCTTTTTCTCCGACCCCAAATTCAACAGCCGCTTTATCTTCCAGATAAGCGGAGATAGCGACAACGCTCGCTGAGCTGATAATCTGGACGCCAAATCAAAGGCCATTGCGAACTCCGAGATGGGAAGCGATAGCTCCAGGCAACCGGGGTCTAGTCCGAACGAAAATCGACAAATGTTATCGAACGTGAATCTTCGAAACACGTCCTGTAAATCTAGCACGCGTCCTTCGCCGGCAGCCGACGATAAGAGCGGGACAAGCCGACGCTTGATCTCGGTGGTGACTATCTCGAAGGCGAATGATCTTATCGAGACGCTACCCAGCTCCAGACTCGCCAGTTTCCGCTGAAACTTCCATGTATCTCCGTCGACGTTGAAGATGCCACGACCCAAGAGGTCACCCAGGATCACGGAGAAAGGCTTCCCTTTTGGGTAATTTTCAAACCTCGTCTTCAGCATATACTCGACGTTATCCGGATTGGCTGTAATCGTGTTTCTGAGCACATGGACATGGATGGTCTTGCTGGGAGACTTCTTGAGGAGATGGGTATACCAGTCGCAGAGATTGTCGAATTCAATCGACCAGCTCGCGGTGAGATAACTACGACAGACGTCACAGTTACACCAGAGCTTCAGTCTCAGTACGAAGAGCAAGAGAGAGAAGAGAGAGAAGGAGAGGGCGAAGGAGAAGAAGAAATAGCAGAAAGAGGTCTGGAGGGACTGTAAGGAGAAGGAACTTTCGGACTCCATTGATGGTTATGACGATGATCGATGAAAAAAAATCACAAGTGGAAGGAGGCAGGAAAGAGTCCTTTTATATTGTTTCCGATTTCTGCTTTGTCTGACATATTATTAAGTATTTTTTTTTCTTTCTTACTTTCCACCCAAACTGAAAATTTCAGAACCACACATAAAAAACATAGAAAGCAAAAGAAGAAAACAAATGTAGAAAAAAAAAAAAAAGCAGAAGAGAAAAATAAATAGAACACGGATAACTCGTGCGCTAAATACCGAGGGTCGGTCATCTGACTCCTCTTTTTAAGTCTCTGCCATTCGTCAAGGGCAACATTTGTTCACGTGCTGCTATTTTCGAAATGTATTGAACAAGGAGTCTCTTTTTTCTTTTCTTTTGTTTTTCTTTATTTTCCTTCTCTTCTCCCCTTTCTCCTCCTTGTCCTCTATTGTCTGTTCGTTTTGTGTGAAAGAAGGAGGCCTGTGGTGAATGTGATTTAGGTTATAGGCTGGAAGGTAGGGAACACATCCGATTAATATTTTACTAATTTTGTTTTTTTTTTGTTATGATTGGATTAATTGATTTTGATTAGAATTTATGTTCATTGTAGTGGTTTGTCTTGAGGTTCCTTGTTTTTTATTTTGTTTTATGTTAAATATATATTTTATGAAATAAGTTGTGCTAGTGGGCCCCACATCCATGTGGCTCAAATACATCTATAGTAACGAAGTGGGGCTGTGATTGTATTAGGCGAAGCCGTTCATATTTGAAAGTGACAGGATAAACGAATTTAGATAAGGAAAACAATATAGATAATTAAATATATTATTAACCTTGTAGGGACATTAAATAGAACAGAATGGTGAAACAGGATTCATGTAACCTATGTTTATGGGGCAATGCGTACGACGGGATAGCCCATCTTCCAAATCCATAACCCTTCAATCTTGATGAAAGTGAGATTAGATTCTAAGTCTCTATTACAACCAGTTAGAGATGATAATAATTCTTAAATTTGTTATGTTTTCTTAATTTTGATATAGTAATATGCTCTATTTTTTCTTTCTCAGTTCATTGTTAAATGTTTCTAAGTATATCAAAGTACTTTTGAAAAAGACCGCTCAAATGGTATGTCATATCCAGACAATACGCTAACTAATTTAAGCAAACACTTTAAGGTTTTACTCAACTTAACCCTATGGGCTGTTTGGTACAGTGGGCGTTTCAAGTAGAAATACAGCTTTGGTGAGTGCCACTGAAATAATATTCCTGGCGATGTTGCAATTGGATAAATAGTGTGAATGTGTGTTATGAAGAGATGTTTATTTACACATTTAGAAGATCCTCATCAACTATGAAAATCAGAATGATCAGATGATATCAACTATCTCCTTTTTGTTTACAGCAGGGAGTTTCCCAAAACGTTTTTAGTCAACACTTAGGCATATATATTTGAAACCCTTTCTTTTTTCTGCCTTTTCTTACAAACCAAACACAGCATATATAAACATAAGATGGTAAAAAATGAAACTGACCATGCCCATTTTTGGTCTAGGAGGTCTTCTATGTGAAACCCATCCTTTCCCTTTTCTGCCTTTTCTTTCAAACCAAACACAGCATAAACAGAAGATTGTAGAAAATGAAACTGACCATGCCCATTTTTGGTGTAGATGGTCTCCTACGTGAAACCCATCTTTGTGTAGAAACCTGATTTAAGATTAACCTTAATTTTTTAGGCATCTTTAGGTTGAATCAACAAATAATTTGTATTAAATGAAAAACCTAAATTTAAACAATGATACTGGAAATTTTACCAATCATGCAGGGTCTATGGATGCTTTGGAAATATATTATTGCTTAATTTTGATTTAAAGCTGATAATGATATGGGCCGTGAATAACACATTAATCTTTGTAAAATTTTACCAAAGTATATTTTTATCACAATAATATTCAATTATTATACAAAATCTTCATTTTATCTTCACTTGTTGATATGAAAAACCTCTATTATTTTTTAAGGGTTCAACCATGATATTGGAAAAACATTCAACCGATCAACTGCTATCATAAAAATGATAACCAATCAGGTGGTATTCGCATCAAAATTCATGGGATATTTTCGGCATCATAAATTTGCCCTATTTTAATAATACTAGAAAAATAAATTTCTTTAAAACACCTCAGTTTTGTCATTTTTTGAGTTATAGACATTGATTTAATAATATTGCACCTTGTACCAGAAACCATCAATCAATCACTAAGTCCAGCAGCGGAGACATTATTTGTTGAGGCAGAATAATTGAAAACTTCGGTGGTATACAAAGTTCTAATATAATAAGTTGGCTTTGATATTATAGTTAAAAGAAGTTTAAAATAATGTAGAGATTCTAGAGAATACATATAAACTACGATGAATCCACCAAATTTATTAAGTATGGACCGCAGTCAGCATGATGGTTAGGTTCTTTGAATGGTAGGACCGAGCATTGGTTCGGTCAGTCTCTCTTATTTTATATCAAAGAATCAACTGATTAAATCAAAATAAAAATAACTGCCAGAGAGAGAGAGAGGTGGCTTCAACTTCAAGCCTTGAACTCAGATATGTTGGATTGGGCTGGGTTGTCTATGCCCCCATCCAAGCCCAATAGCTATGCCTACAGCAAGTTTCCTCTTTATTTACATTATGTAAAATAAAATAAAATAAAATATAACAAACTCCTATGATCTTATGTGATTTTGAGAAACCAGCATGATTTCTTGGTCCATTGTTCATATTTTCTAAAAACTATTAACTACTAACTTTTCTCTCATAGCTACAACATGAATGAATTCTCTCTTAACAAAAACACAATCAAATAAGACTAGAAGCTCAGTATTTGAATGCTTGGTTTGCAATTTTGTATAAATAAAAGAACTTGAGGAAGCATTTTCACTTATACATTTTATATATCTTCCCATTTCAAAAGATGACAAAAAGGAGAGAAAATTAAAAAAATAATAATAAAAAGAAAAATGGTGCTTTCTACTCAACCATATAAATGCAAACATCAGATTATACTTTTGTACCTTTAGTTGGCTTGTTTTTAGAATTAATCCTTTTCTTTTYTTTTTTTTTTTTATCCATGCATCTCTTATTAAGGAATGAAAACTGACAACTCATCTCATTTTGTTCCTGATGGATGTGTTTTGAATAGGTAATATTTGGTGTTAGGGCATGAAAAAAAGGTAGCTCTGATCTCCTTCAAGCAAAAACTCTGTATACACAGCACCCACCTGCATGGTGCACAGTATTTGCTTTCAGGGAATCCTATCGCCATGAAAGATTCCAGCAAATCTGTTCTTCATCGAGCGCTCTTCAGACCAACCTCACAGCACATCCCAGTTATGCATTGGAAACATCTTCCCATAAATAACAATATACAAGTATGGGAAATATTCCCGTATAGCTACACTATGCTGTGAGGTTGGTGTAAGCAACAAATCCAGATTTGGCATGAAATGGGTTGAATAAACAGATTTGGTTAGACCCGAAGTCCAATTCATCTCCCTCTCTCTCTCTCCAATAAGTCAGACTTTCTTATCCAATGTCTTCTTGCAAGTTGAAGCTGGAATAATTGAAGAAAATTTACAATCTTAGCCAAGAAAATTATGGGTGATATGACTCATTGTACACGTTATTAAAAGTTTATTGATGAAAAATTGACTTCTTCCACTATACCTTCTTTTATGCATCCACAGGGTATTATTTTTCAATCTCTGTGTTGAAAATATCAATTCTATCAAATGCTATGCATTATCCTCTCTTCATTTCTTTATTTCATGATTTCATTACATATTTCTGGAACAAGCTCACATCTCCGCCTCACAACGCCCCATAGCATATTCTCGTGATATATTGAAAACATCTTCTAATGATAATATCAATCTTAATAATGTCATCATCGAAAGATATTCTTAATACACAGCAGGGATGTCCTGTGGGGTGGAGATGTGATCTCTTCTCGAACATCCGCTGCATTTTAGAGACAGCCACATCATACACCATTATCAATACAATGACAAGATTGTGACATAACCCGGTGCTCTTCAAATGGATCGGATTGAATCAGATAATACTTAAACCCATATAGGGGTGGATCCATATTCTATTCATATATTCTATTCATGTAGTCCCTTTTCTTTTTGAGTGGTGTGCGGAGAGAGAGAGGGATAGAAGCTGTGGACTGGTGACAAATGCGCTGTTTCTGGTAGACAAATGGGCTGATGGGCTGTCGGATCGTGTTGGGTTGCTTAAAAAATGAGTCCTTTTCAAAATAGCAATTCCAGATTTATCAGAGAAGTTTGATTGGTTTAGTTGCACATCTCCAAACCCGAACTTCTCTCCCGAATACATAGTGGGACAACAAGGAAAAAACCCGAACTTGTCAATTTATATCCGACTTTTAACAAGGGAAAACAGTTCAATAATTTTGGCGGGTCAAGTTAGGAATTGGCACATGCAAATTGACCCGGTAAGTTGACCCACTTGAGCATTAATACAGACAAAAGGTAGTGGGTTATTCCCTTTGGACATCAATTTAAGGGTAATCATTCTAATCTAATCTGATCCACAGTCACAAGTGGATTATGCTCCTATGTGATGTCATGGATGACATACACATGCAAGTGGTAAGTGATGTAATTGCTTAAAGATCAGGTGATAAATCTCTCTTTTGACGGTCAAGATGAAAAGCTTTGCAAATGATGCAGATATTTATAGGTGCAGGTCCTTGTTCAATCATCTGTGCAGTTAAAAAGTTGCAGACGTTCAGTCCTTAGGGATGGGAAATTAAAGAGGACAGTCAATTGCATCATAGAATTTGGGTCGCCCGGATCCGACGAAGGCTACCGTATTATAAATTTCTCGACTTCGTGCTAATAAGGTTTTTCACGGATAAAAGCTGAAAGGGGTGGTGATGGCATCATCAGATTTGCAGAGGGTGCTGCCTTTTGTGGCAAAAATTGGTGGAAAATCATAACTTTTTACCTTCTTAGAACGTTTCTCAATTAGGGAATTAATTGAATGGA